CTTGGGCTTACTATTCTTTAATAGTGCAATCTCCAGTTAGAACAAAGAGTAGATTCAAAGAGAGCACGGTAGTGATGGAATCTGACCCAAAGAAAAAAGCTTCTGTTCTCATTTTAGGTGCTGGTCGGGTATGTCGGCCAGCTGCAGAATTTCTGACATCAATAGGTGGCGATTCACCACAAGAATGGTTAAAATCATTCAGGATAGGCGATCTTGAAGAGCAGACTTGTGTTCAAGTTATTGTTGCTTCTCTTTTTCTGAAAGATGCAGAAGAGGTATGTTTGACTGACATATTACATTCTTGGTACTTTCCTTAATGTCTGTTTTCTGTTTAAAAACAGTGAAGAAGAAAGGAATAAAAAGATTTTCTTTTCCCCCAATTACTGTCAGTTAAGCTCTCATCTGACTGTCTAAAAGATGAGTTATAGATAATTGCATGGCAAAAACGAGTCTATAAATACTTTAATGTATTATTCTCTGTGATTAATTCATCTAATCATCAAACTGTTTCAATTCTGTCTTTTAAAGAAAATTTCATATTCTTTGTGATTTTTACCAATCCACACGAGTTTAGCGCCTATTCGCATTTAAGAAAGCCTATTCACATTGAAGAAATCTAATTTCGCAATAGTGGAATGCAGATAGTTGAAGGAATTCCAAATGCAACAGCTGTTCAACTTGATGTTATGAATCAGGAGAATCTTTATAATTACATTTCACAGGTAATCCTATGCACCAAACTTTTCATTTTGGAGGAAAATGTTTGATCGAAAAATCCATAAATAAGTCGGAACGAGTATGCTCCGATAGGTGTCAGCGTCCAGTGAACCCTGAACATCAAGATGCTTTTACTATGGCTACTGATGCCTGCCGTTCTAAGAGGCATATTAAAACTTGTACGTAAATGTTGATTTTGTTTCTTCCTGTAATTACCTTTCCTGTTCCTATCCACTATGCAGGTTGATGTTGTCATCAGTTTATTGCCTCCTAGTTGCCACAGTATTGTAGGAGGTGCATGCATTCAGGTATAGATATTCCTCATTGTTACTTATATAACTTCTTGCCACTATGAATTACGATAAATTTTGTCGGATGTGTTAAGGCTTGGATACGGTAAATACACTGGCATAAACCATAGATTTAATCAACTGAAAAGCCTTGCATGTTAGTGAAAAGAGTTTCATGGTAAATGTTCCCTTGGTCCCCATGAACTGAGTATTATTTTGTTCTATTCTCCTTCCTATTGAATTATCTTGTAACTGAATTCCATATCTGTGGTGTGAGACAAGTCTAGCCATCCAAGGATAATAAGACGATGATTTTTTGGAACATAAAACTAATTGCTAATAGGATCTAGGCTTTATGGAGCAGTTTTTAGAATAAGACTTTGATACGTTGTAATCCGCTCTGACTCCTCTAGAAAATAGGTCATTTCCAAATAAGTTGCCCAACCGTCTTATAATATATGTCCGAAATCACCAGAAATGCTAAAAACTATACAATACTGGATGGTTTTGCATCCATAGATTTGGTGAATATGGATGTGCATAACAGAAGTGGCCAGCCTCAGCCTTTCTAGTGGATGGGGGAGGAATATCAAGAATAGCAATCTCTTTATTAAAACATGTCTGCATATGCATGTTCATACTTTCCCTTCTTCACAATATTTTCATGCATTTTACCAATGACATAATCTAAAGTACCTTCCCTTTAACTATATGTCTCTATTATATTGCTAGCAGTGATGTCATATCTGATTTATTCATGTTGGAGTATTGTGAATCTATGATTATCTTCAATAATTACAAGGAAGTCAAAATATGTTTCCCTTGTGATATAACTATTGCAAAGACAAACTCTCATACCTTGATTGGATGATTCCTTCGACTGTTTTTTTGTGATTCATCCACCATCAGGATTATTATATGTTAACAAAACTATGATGGTAATGGGTGACGTGTGCATTTGGATTTAGGGACTCATCAATCTAATGAACAAAATAAATAAATTTTGTTACTTATTTATTTCCAACAGCTATTTTATTCTCTTTGAAACATTTAACATTGTGACTCCTGATGCAGCTTAAGAAACATCTCGTCACAGCTAGCTACGTTGATGATTCCACGTCCAAGCTTAATGAACTAGCCAAAAGTTCTGGTGTTACAATTCTTTGTGAGATGGGCTTGGACCCTGGAATAGGTAGTCCTGATCCTGAAATATTTAATCCTTACACGACATTTTTTCACAACATATGACTACTTTCTGAAATATAGTTAGAACCATGTTTGTTCTTCTGAAAATGTAGTTTCCGAAGTATCTTCTTAAGACCATATGAGTATTACTCTGAATTTTTTATGTGATTATGTCCTATCCATTCAATTATTTTGTTTAAAGTGAAGGTTCTATGATCTCATACTATGTCTATATACTGCTATAGCTTTTGATTATGTCTTATATTTTTCCCATGCTTCTTAATCTGGTTGAAGGAAGAGTGAGGAGAAGATCAGCCAACAAGAAGCTAAGCCTTGTTAGCTAAACATGGGCTCATTTATATTTATCCTTTTTCCACTTTCTTCTTTTCAGTGCTACATCTACTTGCATGCTGGCATTGACTTGTCCCTCTTAATTGGTATCACCTCCACTCGGGCTCACATCCTCATTTCTTATTTTATTCCTTCATGTAGCATTAACCTAAACATCTTCATTTGTGCTACATTAGTATTATGAATATTTGGTCCCTTAGTAGCACTGTACTCTCCGCTATGAATTATAGCTGGTCTAAAAATTATTCTCTGCAACTTGTCTTTTTAATTTGGTAGGTATCTTCTTGTCACGCAGAATCCAAAAATCTAAAATTATAGCACGCCCATATGTCGAAATGCTATGAAGGAGTGAAAATTAAATTCCACGGAAAATTTACAACAAGAATAAAGTTATATATCAGTCTTAAGCCCTGTTAGCTTAACCTTTTTAGACGACAACGGTGTTTGTCACATGTGTCATTTATGCTGTCTGGTCCATGTAATGCTTGGTGTTAAACTAGAGTTCAATAGAGATGACATAAAACAGATGAATGTAAGTGTAAAACTAAGTGTTGAATGAAACTGTCAGTGTAGAAAAGAAGGAAGATAAAAGTTAAAGACCAAGAAATTTACTGAAATTAAGATTTTCAGTATCTGTTTTCAGCTACATGCAAGTGAGTGAGAAAGCTGCCAGTCAAAGGATCCCATGTGGTGTAACTAAGAGCTATTAATGGTTTCATATGATCAACATGCACATAGACATAAATCGTGAGTTAAAAATATAATTAGCACCAGTAATAATGTAAAATTTGGAGGAATGAACTAGAATGGTATTTATGAATAAGGCATACACCAGCACAGATGACAACGATGATATAACAGTTGTGGACAGTGCCTCTCATGCAAATTTTATTAATTTTACTGACTTTACATTTCAGACCACATGATGGCAATGAAGATGATTAATCATGCCCACGTACAAGGGGGAAGGATCAAGTCTTTCATTTCTTACTGTGGTGGTATTCCTTCTCCTGAAGCAGCAAACAACCCATTAGCTTACAAATTCAGGTATGATTTCACTTTGGACGTCTACTGCAGTGGAACTTGCTGCAATATGAAATTGATTTATTCCTGTGGAACTTGCTCAGTATAAGATGTGTTAATCCCAGTTACCTCTGCAAAATGATGCTTGTCTCAAATTCTGAGAACTATATAATCTAAAAATTGGATTATGCTTATTCTGTCAGACAAGTCCACCAACGCCCACATTTTCTTTTCCTTGGAAAGGAGTATACAACTTTCATCTTCATAATTTTCTTGTTCTCTACCAGTTCAATAAATTATTAGTCGATAATGTTCAACTGTATTAGTCTAGTATATGATGTTAAATAATTATTCTAATCTCCTCCTAAATATAAAGACTAAATCACAAAATTAAAAGATTGTGAGTCATATTATCTCCATTACTTTCAGTTGGAGTCCCGCAGGGGCTATACAAGCTGGACGGAATCCTGCAACTTACAGATACCAGGGAGAAGTTGTACATGTTGATGGTGAGTTGACAATAGACACAATGCTAATTTCCTGTTGCTAATCAATGAAAGAATCAATCTATTTATTTCATTTAGAATGTGGTGCATTAATAATCATTGTGTCAGTATCTGTGTGTGTGTATTCTATGTACATGCACATCGTGTCCCCTCTAATATCAATATATATCACCTATAATTCTGTTTTCTTTTAACTTTTATGTTGCAAGTATTTTAAGTGATTGGTTTTCTACAATATTCTATGTGCCTGATCACAGTCATTTCAGTAATTTACATTACATGTCATAAGGTTGGTTAAGTCCTTGAAATACTCCTATATTTCATGGTAAGAAACAGTGTTTTTAGCACTAGCTTGAGTTACCTCCAGCCACCTTGGAGGTGGTGATATAAAACTTTCTTCCTGGCTTGTTTATCATATATCAAGATAATCTTCCTCGACTTCTTTATACATTATTTATTTATGGTATAGTCCACACTTGCAGGGGAGAACCTTTATGATTCTGCTAAAAGGCTTCGGCTAGCAGATTTCCCAGCTTTTGCATTGGAATGCCTTCCAAATCGAGACTCCTTAATTTATGGTGACCTATATGGAATAGAAAATGAAGCATCAACCATCTTTCGTGGAACCCTAAGATATGAAGGCAAGATATGCTTTTGGTATATGTTTTGTCATTTTTAGACCGAGTTTAATGGTTAATCAACTATATGCTTTTTGGCTGTCCTCAAGCAGAAGGGCACCAAAATAATCTAATTTTCAGTTTCAAATTAGACCTAAAAAGTCCAGATTGCACTAACCAGAAAAAGAGAATTCGAGACAGATAATGTCTTATTCCTGAGCTTTCCCTGCTATTTTACTTACATGAAAGTTGTGGATTTATATGTCATGCAGGTTTTGGCAGTATAATGGGATCGTTTGCAAGAATTGGTTTCTTTAGCACTGAGGTCATCCCTATCCTTGAGAATCAGAAAAGACCCACATATAGAACTTTTTTACTTTCACTTCTCAAAATTCGTGAAGGAAATTTGGATGAATCTGCAATAGGGGAGAATGACATAATGGAAAGCATTGTTTCCCTTGGCCTTTGCAAAGAGACAGAAACTGCAGTAAAGACAGCCAAAACTATAGTGTAAGGTTTAATGATGTTATACAGAAGCTGTTAATAGAAATATTGAATGACTAGCTCTTAGTATTTTAATATATTTTCTTATCCCCTTTCTTTGAGCTGTAGATTGCACATCTGTTGCATGTTTTTTGGGGGTGATCAGACCCCTTGTATGGTCAACATTGACTGTTAGCTCTTAATAGTGTTGATATATTGTAATCCCTACTTTGAGCTGTAGATCGTGTATCCATTACTATGATGTTGGGGTTGATCAGGCCCCTTAAACGTTCTTCTTGAATCTTTTTGGTTAAGTTATTTCGTTCGAAGAAACTTTCTCATCAAAACATGTTCTTGAAATCCTGTTTCATCGTTCATTAGATATTTGGGATTTCATGAGGAATCAGAAATTCCAAAATCCTGTCGAAGTGCATTTGACGTTACCTGCCTCCGCATGGAAGAAAAGTTGGCATATTCTGGGATAGAGCAGGTGATTTCCAAATTTTAACTTGCTAAACCGATTGATATCAATTTATTGTTTTCTCGGAGGATGATTAAATAGTTAATACAATTCTGGCCAGGACATGGTGTTGTTGCACCATGAAGTAGAAGTGGATTTCCCTAATGGTCGACCTACTGAAAACCACAGAGCAACTTTATTGGAATGTGGAAGGACTAAGAATGGAAAGACAACCACCGCAATGGCTCTTACTGTTGGGATCCCTGCAGCCATTGGAGCTCTGGTATTTGCTTGTTATAATTCTGACTCATTTAATACATCACAAGGAAAATATTGGGGGAATGACGTTATGTAATTTTATACGAACAGCTTTTGCTCCAAAAAAAGATCCAAACAAAGGGTATCTTAAGGCCTATTGATCCTGAAATTTACATGCCAGGTATGCCTTGCTCGGCTTTCTTTTTCCATTCTGGTGTTTGTCTTTCTTGTAGTTAACCATTTGCCATGAAAATCCACCAAATACAAATTTCCTAATGCTTGTGTTTCGCTAGGGTTTAGCATTTCAAGTGTGTAATTATGTAGTTTAAGATTCTTCCTTGTTAGATGGACACTTGGAGTACATGCTCTTTCATACTTGAGATGGTCAATCTGATCGTATTTTGTATGGAAAATATGAGATTATGGAAACCACATCATGCCTCAACTATCTTTCTATTACACGACTCGTCAGCTCTGTTAGTAAATTCATGAACTTTGTACGACCCTCTCCCGATTGGCTTGGTCTGGAATGCAATTCCAGGCGTTCTAGTGGCAGTTTCCAACATGCTTCAGACCTCACCCTTACACAATTTACCATGAATGCAACAATACCATAGATTCAATGTTCCTCCAGGACGAGAATAGGTTGAACTTCTAAAGCAGCATTGAGTTTGTTCATTTTATATCCAATAATATTCAATACTTTGTACCAAACATGCACCTGACTTATGCCATAGTATATGATTTATAGATGATTCTTTCTACTGTTAGCACATCATGAACTCCCCTAAAGTTGGTTATTTTGTGTGCACGCAGCGCTGGATATTTTGGAGGCTTATGGCATAAAGTTGCTGGAGAAGATGGATTAGTTCAGAATGCACAATCTTATGCGCATTCGTGTTTTTAGCTGGTACATACTATGTAAATCATGAACACTTGTTATGAGTACCAGTCCAATTCAGATATGCTAATGAATCGAAATGTATGGTACAGTACATTAAGTTTCAGGGTAATGGAAGGGATGTAAATCTCATTTGAATTGATGATTGAAATTAGCAAGATTTGGCTGCTGGAAATGATTGGCACTCCATTTAAGAAGAGATTATATTGAGAAAACTCTAATGACCCTAAATTGCATGGCTTGCTAAATTGTGTAATTATGCAAAGATTTACACAATTACACTAACAAAATGTGAAAAGTTGAAATATACTGCATTCATTTCACCCAAATAGGAGAAAAGTACTCGCATTGTTTCCAGAAATTGAAAATTACGGTGCATGCTAAACTTATCATAATTTCCGACACAAGCAATGCTTCACAATTTCACTAACGGCATCGGTAAGTCACTTGTTAACACGGGAACAACTAAAAGAAATCAATGAATGTGGTTTCTGTTCATTTCAGAATATGCTCAAGTTTTGTTCATAAACAAAGGAATCGTATAAGCAACCGAAACCCTAGTTGTTGAGCACAGCGTCTAAAGGCATATACCTCGATTGAAGGTAATATCCATCGTCGGCGATGTTCATGAGCTACCAAATACCAGTCTCACATAATAACCTTGTCGACAAATGATTAATCGTCCAAAAGACCTTCCTCTGGGTGAATATGTAAAAATGCGCTATGATATGTAGAATCTAGTCACAATCATTCCATCTGGTTTTGATAAAATCAAGGGAGGAAGCTGAAATTATTGAACTGAAATAAATAAACAGAAATAAGCTGAGGAAGCTGTAGAAATCAAACTGAAAATAAAGGACGTGGAAACCGGATAGAGCATGCTATTAATAACAGGGAAGAAGATGAAATTCAATTTATACTTGCTTGAGGAAATTACAAGGCAACTAATCTATTTATAGAGAAAATTAGCTAACCAATTATCTAACAAACTAACAATATAACAAACTTAAGAAGGAACTAGAATATGCTAGATTTCAGGAAGAAGAAACTNGTCTCTCGTTGTCAGTTCTGCTAGGAGGTGGAAACCATTCCACTTTTATTCACATGCAGTGCTATATCTAACCAGGTATGAAGACATTTTGGATATATTTTTCATGTACTTATATGGCCAGTAAGAAAGTATGACATCGGTTTCAGCTATGGAGATTTTCGATCAATTTTTTTCGCTATAGCCATATTTGTACTATCATTCCACGACTGATCATGTTTCTATAATATGCGAGGAATTATGCAAACCACCGAATATTGGTATGGAGCTTAGAAGAATCATCTGGAGGGTCTACCGCACAGTTTCACTTATACATATGGGTAATTTAATTCGACATGTACGCTGACATGAAATATGGTTAATATTGATTATTTGACGTACTTTACCAGTGAAATCCCACAATATCAACACCAATAGATGTGTCAAGGATCCCTATTTTTTCGAAACTCATTTTCAATCAGAAACTCATATAAAATAATTTTACACGTAAATCTAGGGTTAGACAAAATTCTCGAACCAAACCGAATCGAACGGTTCTTTTTAAGTTAAATACCCAAATGTATATCTGAATCGAAAACCGATGTATTTGGTTCGGTTATAGACCAGAACTGAAAAATCGAATATCCCTAATTTTTATTTTATTTTAAATACGTCAAATTATTTTATTTTTGTTTTACATAAATTTGTTAACTAATTAATTTTACTCAAACCTAAAATAAAATTTTCCTATTTCTAATTTTCAGTCCAATTTCAATTAATCAAATCGACCTAAATTTTACTCAAATCTCTTATTCTACCGTAGTGCAATTTCTGTTTGGAGAAATCGAATTGAAAATCTTTCTTTATTGTTGTGAACTTGTTATCTTCCTCTTCATGTGAACTTAACTGGCAAATCTATGAGAACTCAACAAAGAGGAGCGTAAAAGATATCATGAGAATTGGACTACGTTATTTTATAAGAGCTAAAATTGAACATGTCATTAATTAGTTGAATTAATATAACGTTGTTGTAAATATAACAAAAATTAATTATTGTAAAGAACCCCAAAATCGAATAAAATCGAATCGAATTTGAACAGTTCCATAATTAAATTTAGACCTAACAGTTCTATTTATTAAATACTTGAAAATTCGAGTTCAGTTCGATTCCGAACCCAACTAGAGCATGTTCAACTCTACGTAAATCCAAAAATTTTTCCTATTTTTTAACTACTTTCTCCAAAAAAAATCACTATTACAAACACATTTTCCCCAAAAAGTGGGCCTCAAACAGGGGCAAGTAAAGATTTGACAGTGAGGTATTATACGGGACTAGCTTAGACACTGCATACTAGCATTCTCTTCATTTGGGGAATGTATTATTCTTGAGGTTGAGTTACGTACTATTTTGGAGGGGGTCTTACTTTCTAGATAGCTTGGATTATCAAATCTTTGAGTGGAGGCAAACTCGACATTGGCCTTTCACTGCATCACATCTACTGAAGTTGGTATTAGCATTGTTCTAAAAAAGGGGAAAATACGCCGTCTAAGCGCGACCAAAACGCTTCGAATTCGGGAAATGAGGAAAAAATGCGTTTTCCAACTAAAAGGCGCGCATTAAGCACGCCTAGGCGCGCATTAGTCCGTCTAATCCCCCTTTTTTNATGCGGGAAGGCGCTCATTATCCTGCCCGGTCCTTTTTTTTTTAAATCTATTTTTTTATGATATATTAAAAAATCTATTTTTTATATAAAAATATATTTAATGTCTTAAAAATACGAAACGCATTATGACGCTTATTCTTCGCATTGACACGCCTAAACTTGTGATTCTTAATTCTCGGTCTCGACGCTTCACAACGCATTACGCATTTTAGAACACTGGGTATTAGTGTTTTGCTCCACCAAAAAAAAAAAAAAAAAATTCATATGAGCCAATTCCTTCTATATTGACCAACTCCCAGGGTTGAGTGGCTGCTACCATTACAATTCGACGCATAAAAATCATTGCTACGAATAAAGAACTGCAAAAGGGAAAAAATCGATTCAATGAACTTTCGCCTCCACCTCCATTACTACGAGATGAGGCGCCACTACAAGATAGGTATAAAACCATGTAAATCTGTTTGATTTTTTTATGAAACATGTCGTCTCATATCCTAGATGTCTTCAAGAAACTATCTGCGACACTAAATGTCGCACCTCTTCCCAGTTATTGACCTTAGTGATGAGAGGATGTTGATTGACAGACTCTGTCTTGCACCATGGATAAGTATTTTCATAATCGAAAAGAAGAACCCTTATCCCAGCATCTGCACATTCAGTAGCATATCTTGGATTATCATCAATCAAAATTTTTGCTCCCAAAGACCTGCAAGAAACACATCATATAAACCTGGTCAAAACCATTGATAACCTCAAGAAAGGATAAAAGGTGAAATTTAAGAACGACCCAACAGAAACAAGAAAATATACTTGCAAATATCTGATTTCGGTCTCGCTAGTCCTTCTAAAGCAAAGTGATTTCCAAAGTGAATCTCCTGAAAGAGGTCTGGATAATGTTTCTCAATCCATGCAATTGTGTCTTCTTTAATTGCATTCTGTCGTGACCTAAGTAATAAGAATAGCGAAATAGTCAATTAATGCTCTAAACACTGGTGGAGGTCAAAGAGGTGGGGGACCAAGGATACTTACGTAACAACGGACAAATTACAAAATTCGGATAAGTTTCTAAGAGCTTTTAGAGCACCTGGAATTGGATGAATCCCTTTCTTGAAATAAGAAGTCTCGAAGAACTTATGAACACGGATATCAGCTGTTAACAAGAAAATTGACTACTTTTCAAAACGGACATTATTTATGAAAACCATGGTATGCAAGAAAAGAGGTAGGTTGAGAGTATATTGCAATGAAATTAACCCAACAAAATGGGGGGGAAAGCAATCTTGTAGACACTAGCATCTTACAGAAATCAATTACTGACTTCTTTCAACTAAGATATAATAGATAACGTCTACATAATTATCTTACAATTAAAGCAGTTAATTAGATATGCAAGCAACAACACATGAAAAATTGGATAGTGGTAACAATGAATTAGACGTGAAAGGAATGAAGATAATGTTGGATTTCAATGAGAAAATAAAGGAAAATAGAGTTATGACAAATAGAGTGTTGGTGGTAAAAAAATAAAAATACTATGTTTCAGGAAAAGAATAGCACACCAAACGTAAATGTCTGCGAGTCTTCAAAATATAGAAAATCAGCAGAATAGGCAAGTCTTCAAAATTAGAACAATGAACGAATCTTCTATTAGCGTACAATCAAATTAGAGAACATATTTACAATACCTTCGTCACGTGAGCAGTTCCATACCTGCAAGAAAATGTGTAAAGCACATCAGAATTGCATAAATGCAGTCTAGTTCCACTTAACAGAAAAAGAAATACAAAAGATTAGGTACTATCATACAAATTCTGATGCAATGCATCAGAATTGCATAAATGCAGTCTAGTTGCAACTGATCGTTGTCAACTATACTATCATACAGTTCATCATCCTAATAACAAATTTAATGCACTATTTTTATCTCTAAGCATTTTAGTTTACACATTAGCACACTCTGCCACAGTTGACAACGACCAGTTGAAGGTGCAATCCTTCATAAATTTGGCAAGCACAGGGGAGGTGTTGGGTCTACAAAACTAATCTAGCTTTGGCAATGCAAAGGTTCAATAGAACTCAGATTTCCATCGACTACAGAAACACAAGGTTGGCCTGGCTGACTAACTAGAAATGATTTGAGATGGGAAAGCCCAACATGTCTCAGAGCTTGCCATTTCTCAACATCCGATACTATAAGAACATGTTATAAGGGCACACTTTAGCAAAAACACCATTCATCCATCATCAAGCTTAGGCTTGATAATTCTCAAGCTCAACATTCCGTACAAATTTTTAACGCCGATATTTGTATGTCCAAAAATGTCTAAATCAATAATATTTATATCTGAAGCAAGCCTCCACGTCCTAAGAATAGAGCATGGAATGAATGATGAAACAGGCAGGGCAAAGACCACAGGGAAGCCACTGTGAAAGTGGAACAAGGATCAAGGAGTAAAATCTTATTGTGAATTAGAGGATTGAAGATCAAACTTTTCACTTGTCACACCGTAAACCACCTGAAGATAGTAAATGTCTAGCTTTTTGAATCACACGTTTCACATAAATGAGAAATGCGTAAAATTGATTAATATTTTCAAATGGAGCAAGTGCTCCTACGTTCAATTTGAGAAGAGTTTCGAAAGCAATAGAGTAATAATGAAGGACAAGACTGTTAAAAACTAACAGGTGATACCTTGAAAAACTCGTACACATGGTACTCGGAAATTGAGTGACTTAGAGAGTAACGTTCGGCAATGAACTGATTAATAGCTGATATGAAGTTCCCAAGGACTGCCCAAAAAAAAAGGCAAAGCATAAAAATATAAGTAGGTGATCAGCCAGATTTGAATATAATAACTAGCATTCATTATAGAAAATTGAGAGGGCCGGAAACTAGATAGCAATTCTTTAAGTCCACCCAGAGAATGCACAGAGCAATACTGATAAAATTGTCAATAATTTAATGTACAAAGAAACTTATTGAATCAAATAGTGTTCACAATGGTGCAGTGGTCGTATCATATACTAGAATTTGGACATATGACAAAGAGTAAAGATACATAATTTGAAAAACTTGTAGTAGAAAGAACTTATGGATGAAGTTGTTCAACAAATAAAAGCTACATCATTGACTATTTGGCTCGAAAAGCGAGCTACAAGACTTGAATAACTTCCAAATATCATACCATGTCATGAATGTATATTAATTTTCTCGTCATTAGTTAAACATATAAATGCTCATGTACATATATGCGTGTAGGTATATATAGAGAGAACTGAATCAACAACTATCATAAACGAAAAATCATATACCCTCGTCAACATCCACTGCAACCATGATTTTCTCGGGGAAATCCTGGTCTCCAAACCCAGTGGAACTTCCTCTATTAGCACCACCAACACCACCGCCACAATTGCCATTGGAAGCCCTCGAATTCAGCCCAATTTGCGGTTCCTCCACCGTAGCAACCTCCTCTGAATCATGCAGCAAAGGAAGCATACACGAAGCATATGTCTTCACTTTCCTCACCCCATAACTCTTCCTCTTAGTATCAGAATCATTATTCATCAAATTATTACTATAGTATTCAGAGCAATTACCCTTGACCCTCAAAAACCTCGGGCCATTGGATATACGTATGAAAACCCTTGTGAAACACAACATTTTGAAATCCCTTTGGCCCACCAAAAAATTCGAGGTGGCCGCCATAAAACAACCCCTCAAACAGCGATATTGTAGATTATAAACACAAGTTGATGCTACTAACGAAAATCCCTTCCTGACCGTACAGAATCAACGAACTCTTTAACTTCGTATTGCCGACAGATTTTTTTTTCCCAAACTGCGAAAAGCAAAGAAATTCGATTTTATTTAAGAATTGGGATTGTAAATTGTAAATATATATTTCAGGAAAATGCAGAATCTTGAAATTTGAATGCTATAAATAGAAATATTTTCGGCCATTTCTTGGAAAGGAGGAGGATTTCGAATTTCAAGTGGCGATTGGATTTTTTTACGCGGCAGTGAGTGAAGGAGATATAATAATATTTTATTTTTTCATTGGCTGCTATTTTTTTGGTTCTTTGAAAAATATTAAAAAAAATACTTTTTAAACTAATATTTTTCTTCTCTATTATTTTGTGTTTTTTTTAGGTACTATTTGACGTAGAATTATAAAATATATTCTGTAATAAGTGATTTTTTTATAAATATGTCGCTAAAAATATGAAAAATAAATAAATTATGGATCTATATATAAAAAATTATTTTATTGGAAAATCGGTTAAAAATGAATTTGAAAAAAAATGAGTGTTAAAAAATTAGTACCGAAGTATGCTCCTATTTGTTTTTAATAAAAATTGGTAAAATATGTGGTTAAAAAATTGATAAAAATTATTAATAAAAATGGAATTTATAATTTTAAGCTTTGACTGCATGCTCCTAATGAATTAAAAATGGAAATATTAATTGTAAATTTATTTTACTTGAATCCAAAAATGTAAAAGCTTTATTAGGGTAGAGATTGGATTTTTGTGATTTTTTTTCCAAAGTTATCTTTCTCCTATAGAAAAACTATTATAACCTTATTAAAAGCCTTATTCAAACTATAATACAAAACATGTTACTAGAAATACCAATTTGTTTTTTTATAAGTTCTAGACTGAACGGATGGATTTTGGTTCATACAGTTCGTGACTTTTCAGCTTATAAAAAAATGTACCAAATACGATATTTTTAGGTTGTGTAGTTACTCAAAGAGCTTGACTAATGGTTGAACTCCCAAGTAGTTTCACCGTTTTTGTCAAAACCAAAACAAAGCTAGCATTCCTTTTGCATCAATTACAATATTGCGAAGCAATGAATCTTTCTACATCACAAATTTGCTCGAACTTTGACTTATTTTGAGTTGCAAGAAGGGGAGAACATGGTGATACAACGATTAAGTACTAACGGAGTTAGCAAAACAAGAAGGAAGAACATGCTCGTGGATTTTGAGTAATTCACGATGTGAACGTAATGCGAAGATAAATATAAAAGATTAAAATGCCCTTAAAATAATTTTAAATATGGTATGATGCCAACTTCTCGTGTCATCATAGTTGTCATCTACTTCAATTTATTGACGAACATGTGTTATCACTTTTCAACACCCCCTCTCATTTTCATAAGCATCATTAACAACCGGTTTTGTTGTCCGTGACATTGTTTGGGACTTTGTGATGCCTCAAGTCCTAGCATCCGATGGCTGCTAGACTTGAATCAAAGTGGAATACGTGACATTGGTTGTATAAGTACACGGCCATTAAAGTTTAAGAAATTCCAGAAGGAAACTATGGAAATACGAAATATATTAATGATGAAATAAGGAACAATAATGAATTCACTCAACAAACATAAAAATGGATCAATGATAGCACAAATGCTACAAAGATAAATGGATTGTACATTTTTCCAGCTGATGATGGATTTGTAGCATGTCGACCGATGTCTATCATGATCTCGAATCTACAAGAACTGTTTCGGGGTGAAGGATCAATTCTTGTGATTGCAGACAAACCGTGGAAGTGATCACACGCCCCTCTCTGTTGATTCATGGTCTGATAATACTTGTTGAAGGCGTACGATGCGTTGCTCCTAGCATCGAGCCCTCCACAGGTAGATCCATTCCCAAGACTTGTGCAATCTGCATAGGTGCAAGCAAAATTAATGTTCTGAGTCAAATTGGGATCCATTGTATTAGCATCAGGTGCCATTATGCACCATTGCCTTGCCAAATACTTCACTCCCTTTGCAGCTGTTAGTTTTCGATTATTGCTCAAATTTAGTGGATATTTGATAGTTCCGTCGAAGTAAAATATGCCCCAATGGCGCTCGAAGTTGCCTGGTTCAATGCTCTTAGCATCTTCATCAATGAGAGCAAAGAAGTAAATGTCTGGAGGGCTTGGTCTTTTCGGGGTGCCCTGGCCTCGATTTAGGCGGTTGAGCAGACCCTGATTGAATCTGCGTGCGAATTCTATTTTCGCGTTAGAATCCCCATCTGTTGGCCAACCAACTTCTCCAATGATAATCGGCATTGATGGGAAACCATTTTTTTCGAGGGCCGAAACTAGTGTATCATAATTGGCATCAAAGACATTGGTATAAGTGATGGAGCCATCCACAACAGGGGAAGAAGTCCCATCAAAGAAGGCATATTCAACCGGAAAATGGGAATCCGCGTAAAGGCTAAGAAAAGGATAAATGTTAACCGTAAAGGGCGCGCCATTCTTATCAAGGAATTTGACGATAGATACCATGAGACTATGAATATCAGCTCGAAAATTTCCAGCGGAGGGAACACCGGCATCTGTTTCGTAGACATCTGCATTGAGTGGAATTGTAGCCTTGATGTCCCGACCTAAACCAGCTTTAATCAGGGCAGCCTGGATATTCTTGAGAGCAGGAAATGCTGTTTGTGTAAATCTATTGTTGTAAGTCTTGAGAAATGGTTCATTTCCAACAGCAACATACCTAAAAAATTCAACCACGACGAAATTCTTGATCAATAACACATCAAACCAGTGGAGAAGCCACAAGGGGCGAGGGGTGGAGCCTGAAGTTTATTATAATACATATAAAATATATGAATATTTTGACCCTTTAAAAACTCGAGCACAAGACGAAGCCCCCGTTTGATAATCATACTTTTCAAAATTAGAGTTTTGAATAGTAATTTTTAGGGGAATGTGTAGTTAAAAAGCAGAGAAAAATTTTAAATTTATGTACAGAATATTTTATTGTGTGAATGTGTGGTTGAAAGTGAGTACGTGGAAAAAAGAGATTGAAAATCAAAGTTGTCAGACAAGGGCTTAATCAGTAACAACATAAGCTTAAAAATCTAACCTTATGTCCACTCCCCTCTTGGATTTATAGTAAGAAACATTTCTAGACACCCATTCCTCAGCAGCTGAAACGCTACCGGCCAAAGACTCTAACATATCGTTGGGAATCCCGACCATGACTTGGATACCGGACTTCCCAAGAGCCTGCAAAGCCATAGGATCAGCTTCGAATAGCTTCACTTTGTTAAATCCATTGTCTTTCATCAGCTTGACCACTATGTTACCAGGGAGAGGGTGCGTGCCGCGGGTTCCCCAGTTGCAGCCTAGGCCATCGACTAGAAAATGTTCACCAAGTGCGAAAAATAAGAAGGCGAACATGCAACGGAAAATCATGGTTTATGGACTATCAGCTTTATTTTTTGTGTTAATGATAGACTGATGTGAATGTAATATATACTAGAAAGATCTCCTTTTCGGGTATTTTAGTACTAGAATGTTTTCACTTTTGATGGAGGAAAATGAAGGAATTACGTAAGGTTTCGACAAGGAAGGAATAGAGTAAGCATTTTGTGATGGGTGGAGCCAAGTGATTCAATTGAATTCCCATGCAGAAGTAAAGCACCTTTTTCCATGCTATATTTTAATATTTTCTTCTAATGAGTGATATTACGAAAATGGAATCATCAGAATGCGACCTGAAAATCTGGTTTACCTCGACCAGCCACTAGAGGGTCTGGTTTACCTCGACCAGCCTTCTCCAAGGGGCTGGTCGAGCATCCTTCTTGGTGGTTTTTGGAATAGTGATTTTTTAAAGAATGTGTGGTTAAAAAGTAAGAAAAAGATTTTGAGTTTACGTACAAAATATCTTATTGTAAAAATATATGATTAAAATGAGTTTGAAAAAAAAAATGAATTTTATTTTAATAGTTGTTAAACAGGGGCTAAATGCAGAACTTCCCCTATGTAGAGATGGTGCAGCACAATAAAAGATTAAATAATTACATTTCATTGCACCTTATTCCTAATCATTATTCGTCGAGTGAAGTATCTTTTCGACTATTTTCGAACCAGCCACTTGAAGGGAATTGTATAAATTTGTGATCGTACCATAAATTCAAAAAGGTCGTAGCCTCGTCATAATCTTCATGAATGTAACCAAGAACGTCCTTAATATATTCTCTAGATCTCAGCTAGAAATATCTAAGACCTATCTCAAGATTAACATATTTCATCAAAGCCGTGCATGAACCTAGCCACTTTCCATTTGTCACTTGGGCACACCTTGAAAAGGAAAT